GCCAGCTTACCCATTGACACCCCCCTCCTTCCCTACCCTGACTCAGTTTCCCTCTGGTCCCCCCCTGCCCATCACAAGCCCTAAATGGTAGTGCCTGCACGGGGAGGGGGGCGGGGGGCTTCCTGTCCATTTGCCAGCACCCCCTGCTACCTCACCAAACCTTTCCACTTCTCAGAAACCTGAGAACACATTCAGGGACCCTTTTACCCACCTCCCCTCTGCAGGGTGCCCTCTCCAAGAGGATGCACTATGCTGCAAGCACAGTGTTACCCAGGGGGACCTCCTTGTCACAGGACACCCCGACATGGCCACCAGTACCCCAACCCCACCACAAGGTTTGCCCAGGGCAGGGGGGGATGGCTGTACCCCAACCTGCAGCTGCACGGGGGACCCATCACCCCTCCCGTACCCATTGGGGTGATGCCAAGTGGGGGCAGCATCAGCAGCCCCAGATGCCACCATGATGCCGTGGAGATGCCGGGCAAGGACCCATCCCCACAGGGCAGCTGCCAGTGCCAAGCACGGGCAGCAGCTGTGCCAGGCCTGGGCAGTAATTGCATTTGCCCTGAGAAGGCTCCTAATGAGCAGCAGCACCAGTGAGGGGCACAGGGGGCAGGGGGCTTGTGGAGGTCCCACACACTTCACAGCTGTCTGCCACAGCCCTGCTTGCTGCCCAGGGTGGGCAGAGGACTGGTGGGCAGGGGGTGTCAGGGTACAGTCCCCACCCTTAGCACCAGGGAGGTGACATCACCGCTGGCTCCAGCGTCCCCCACCCGCATTTAATTAGCAGATGGCCCCCGCGCCCCAGGCCCCCCCGCCAGGCAGCACCAGGCCTGTGCGGGACCATTAGCTTTATTGGCTGTGCTGAACGAGGGCCAGGCCTCGTTAATTGAATTGCACCCGCGCCAAGGACGGGCAGGCGTCTTCTCCCCCCCAGCCCCCTCCCTTGCCCACTACCAGGGCAGGGACGTGCCCCTCCACATGTAAGTGGGTATCAGGGTCCTGCCCATACGGTGCCTGGCATGGGGTGGGTGGGTCCAACTGTGGGCACGCACATGTGTGTCCCTTCTGTCCTGTGCCCACGCCTGCCACACGTATGTATGGCTTGCACTTACACACGCACCCCTGTGGCTGTGCACACACAGCCTGCACGCACGTGCAAACACACACACACATGCACACACATATGTATGCCCCCGGCGCAGCAGGGTGCTGCTTCACTGCCCCCCCAATATCCCTTCCAGCACCCCTATCCAAAGTGAGGTGCTGTGCTCTGTGCCTACAGGAGGCTGGCACAGGGCAAGAGGGTGCTGGGGAGGCTGGGGGCCACCTCAAGCACTGCCACCAGTTTCCCCATGACCCTCAGCTGCTCGGGAGCACCCTACAGCAAACACCTCCCTCTGGGAGCCAGGAGGGTGTGGGGAGGCTCAGGCTCCCACTCAACATCACTTCCTACTTTCACTTTGGTGCAGAGTCGAGGCCTGGCTTGGGGGTAGCGGGTGCCCCCCCAGTTTCCCCAAGTGCCACAGGTAGGGTGCTGTGAGGGGGGCCATGGTGGGGAGGTTGGTGGTGGAGAGCAGGATGGAAGCAATTCCTCATGCCTGGCACTGGGGGGTGAGCTGGCAGCCCCCCCAGCCACCCCTCCCAGGGGATTTAGCCC